TACGTAAAAAAATAAAAAATTATTCTATTAATTTTCTATATTTTCATAAATTTGCTGAAAAATTGCAAACGTTTCGCAAAAACTGAAGCACACTTTTATAAAGGAACCACTTTACTTCAACATAACTTACATATATAATTTGGTTACTAAACAAGATGTTTGAGCTTTATAAGAATGCTTTAGAAAATTAAGTCTTTCGGAATCTATTCAATATACAATAATCCAATATATGTATAATGCTTTTAACCAAGGTCGGTCGATGCTCCGCGAACAACGTCTCTTGGCCTCCCCAACGTTAGAGAATGAAAGGAGATGCACAGGGTATACGCTCCGCCGAGTCGTCCTTGACCCCGAAGTCAACGCGCATCCTGCCCTGTGCATCTTGCGAAGGATATACCCCGCGTCTGCGTACACGTCAATTCTGATCACGTAAATTATTTTGCTTCCTTCTTCCTCTTTTACATCGCATCACTTGTCTTTTCGAAAGTACATTTAGTTCGTAAATTTCTACCCCAAAAAATGAAACTAAATTGACTATTGATGAATGAAGGAATTGATTCATCCTTCAAGATATATTAATCCTTATCAAATGCCAATGTTAATTTTTTCAATCGCCTTTCTTTTTTAGCTCTTTAAATTGCACACAAATAACACAAACATTTATCGGATCGAACCTTTGCTCTGTAAATACTTGAGCAATCGATATGATAGAATTTCTTTAAACAATCGGCGTGCTTATTTACGCGCCGAGGTCTTTAATTAACACTTACTCACCCCCTCTGTCCCTCTCATTGCATCCAAAATAAAGCAAGTTTATTTAACCGTTTGATCTCCATATATCTCCGCATTTACTTTAACTCCATTACTTCTGTTTGTTTTGTTTTCACATTTAATTCCTATATTAATTTTTAATTAATATTACAGTATATATAAATATTCCAAAAGTATTATTATTAAAATTAAGGATAGTATATCATTGACTTCCACATTCCGTTATTAAACATTGATTAATTAAAGAATATAAAACCCTTTCCGCATCTTCATAACTATAAAAAAATTAAAACTATAGACAACCGGGAAAGATTCAAGTCGAAATTATGAAAAGCTGAAGGAAGACTGGCGGGGAACCGAACCGGAAGTTGGCTATCTCGTGGCGGCGGTACAAAGGATGGCACTTAAAAATTCAATGCATTTCAAATGGGCCAGAAATCCGTCCTCAGGCGCCACTCGCGGCACCATTTTCACTCGCGTTAGTGCAACCATTTGTCGAGTTTTCGTTTTCCGGCTAGTCTGATCTTCCCCTCTTCCGTTTGGGAGGGGAAAACTCAACCCTGCTATTTTGCATAATGGTTCACACAAATAACGTGATTGCTTATCGCTTCTGTTTGCTAACCGTGCCGATAATATTGATAGATAATAAAATCTATTTGTTTGGAATTAATTTTAAACGGAAATTACTTGAAATCCTGCAATCCTGTTTTCGAACATCATATTCATATGTGATAGTATCGTATAATTTTATATGTTATTTAATAGTGTATATCATTTAATTTACAGTGGACACGAGCAGACGCAATAAACGCTACACGAAAGCAGAAAGAAACAAGTTTCAATTGATTATAACGCTTGATATACATTTTTATAAACTAATTCAGATCGATTTGTAAACAAGTATCGAAGAGAGGGAGATATAGAATTCAAAACATTATCCGAGATGTCAAACATAATACGAGATATTAAATTACCACACGGATTTGCAATAATGATACAGTACCATCAAGCGATAACCAATTCTCGTTCGTAATGCCAATTTTAATCGCAATCTTTAATGCGCAGCATACGGGTCTAAGCATCATGCGCGTAAATTCGCCGCGGATTTATTTCCGCCGCACGACGCGTGCCAAATTTAGGACAGTATGTTATTAGCTTCCACATTTCATACGCTTGTCCCACGTGCTGCATACTTACGCAGCACTTGCATGAGCCCGCTCTCGTCACTATTGGCATTAAACACGTAAACAGCATTAGTCAAAATTTAACTTTTTCAACTTGAAACAAATAAATGCGCGAGTGACCTTTAAGTTTTTATAAATTCCTGATTTAAAAAGTATAATAATTAAACTTTAAACAATCAGTTTGCCTAAATGCTTTTAATTCACTACAGATTTCTCTCTTTCTCTCTCTCTCTCT